GTTTCTAGACTAAAAAGAAGGGCCTGCCCGCCTACTTCCATTTTGGCCTTGAAAACCCTGTGAATAGCAGTGGAGCACTGTCTGAGGGAGCGCCGGAACGTAAGAGGGTGGCGCAAAAAGACCAGGCAGGGTTCCGCTCTGCTGTACACAGGGGCACTAGGGGTCAGACTCCACTCCACAGCACTAACAAAAACAAACAAAAAATCCCCAGCCCAGTGCTAGGCACTCAGGACTGGCTCAGTCAGTGCTTTCCGAATAAGTGGATAAGTACAAATGAATGAATGAATGGCCTTCGGTGAGACTCTTGACTCTCTGAGTCTCCATTTGTTCATCTGGAAAGTGAAGCGCCGTCTTTGTAGGGTGACTGTGAGGATCAAATGGTGAGTGGGAAAATGCTTCGGAAGTGTGGAGCTTGGAGCTGTTCCTGAAGTTATGCAGGATGTGGGCAAGGAGAGGAGCACGAGGTTGTTAAAAATGGCTCCAGGTGGCTTTGATACCTTTCTTTTGGTAACGAATAAAATTACCCTATTTATATACATAGAAAGAGGACTGGAAGGACATACACCAAAGTGTCTCACAGCTGCCAGCCCTGAGCATCGGTTACCTTTGTCATTTTTTTTTTTTAAACATCCTTAGAAGCCCGTGAAGGCCAGATCTGTGTCTTACTTTCCCTTTGTGTCCCTGGGCCCGGCACAGGTGAAGGACATAAGGAATCCCCCATCTCAGGGTTCCCTGGCACCCCATCAGCACCAGGGCCCCTGCATCCAAGTGGATGAAAGGAGAACAGCTCCTCGCTGAGAGCAGGGCCAGCAGTGGAGAGAGCAGAGCTGCAGGACGAAGACTCAGTTTACCCAAGGTGACGTCTCTTGCAAGTCATCATCGGGACTGAGGAAGAGATGGGACATCTCCAATGGTGCCAGACACCTTTAGGCACTTAAGAAATTTTAGTTCCCACCCCCTCTTCACATTTAGGAGACAACCTTCCTGTGTTCAAGTAATTTAATATTTCCCATGGCTCCCGACGGGCTGGAATTGTTTCCTTTTTATAAGCCGTGGGTGCCTAAGTCATAACCAGTATCAGACCTGTCTGTCTTGTTCACTGCTGTACGCCCAGCGCCTAAAATCATGTTGGCACACAGTAGGTGCTGAGTAAGCAAAAGACTCTGTCGAGGGCGACTTCATTAACGGCGTGCTGGGTGCCTCCCCAGTGAGAAGAAAACCCACCTCTAGATAATAAGACCCTCCGCGGCCTCCCGCACCCTGTAATTTGGATCTCTAGGAATCGCCTTTGTTGTGGGCGACCAACCACAGGCAGAGCGAGCACCTGCTCCTCCAGCGGGCCTCGCGGAAGGACCCCAGGCTGCCGCGCCCCTTCTCTCCGCTCCCCTAGAGCTGGGGGCCCCGAGACATCCCGGCTCGCAGCCAGGGTCCGCCCCAGCGCTTCCCGGCCGTGGTGACGCGCGTCCCCAGGTGCCCGACACCCCGCCCGGGGTCAGCGTTCTTCGCCTCCTCGGGCCGGGCGGGGGATCTGGGGCTGCATCAAGGGCCTCGTCGGGCACCCCCAGGCCTGCGGGGGTAGGAGCCTGAGTCACGGCGGCGCACGCTCTCTCCTCCGGCTTCCATCCTGGGGCCACCCCCGCCCCACAGCGTCGGGCCCCGGCGCAGCCGGCTCTCCCCGGGTCTCCTGCGCGCCCCCTCTCCCGGGCCTGAGTCTCCGCGGCCGCGGCCCCCGCCCCCGACCGGCTCCGGGGGAGCTGCGCCCGTCCGCCCCTCCAATGGAGAAGCCCGAACTCCCGGCGCTCCCGGGCGGCTCCGCGGGAGGGGGCGCGGCCGCCCCCGCGGCTCCACCCTCTCGGCGGGGCCGCAGCCATCTGGGGCCCCTGCCAGTCGCGTCCGCTCCGGGGCCCGCGCCGAGCTCGCGCGCGAGGAGGCAGCCCTGGCAGGGACCCGGGCCTCCTCCCCAGGCGATCGATCCCCTGCCGGCGCCGGGGCGGGGAGCCGGGCGCTGAGATGCCCCGAGGGTCAGCGGCTGCGAGCCCAGCCTGGCTGGAAGCGCGTCGCAGCGGACGCGGGCGCCCCTCGCCACCTCGGTGACCCTTCAGGAGCCGGGACCGGAGCTCCGGAGGCGGCGGTGCGGGCCCGCGAGGGCGGCGAGGTCCGTGATCCTAACGTCCGGGGCGGGCGCCGGCTGCGGAGCCTCGGCCCGGCTCGTCGCCTCCCGCCTCTCTACCCCCAGCCCCCCGCGAGCTGGCAGGAGGAAATAGCGCGCGGCCCCTTTAAATTTACCCAGGAGCCCTTAAAGGAGCCCCAGGGGCCCCAGACAGGAATCCCCACCCCGGTCCAGCCCGCGCCGCCGAGCGAGCAGCTAGCCGTCCGTGCGGCCGGCCGCCCCGTGCATGCGCCCCGCGCCTC